CGCGCGCCGCTCCCGCCGCACCGGGCCCGCGCGTCATCCTGCACTGCCCCTCGCTGCGCGGCACGCCCTGCGCACTCCGCCTTCGCCAGCTGCGAGCCGTGCTCGTGGCCGATCACCTGGCACGAGCTCTGCGCGCGCACGGGTGAGCAGGGAGGAAAAAGAGAAAGTGGAACCTTAGCGGGTGGGGAGGAGGCTGCTCTTCGGGACAGCTGGTAGGAGTGGGAAGTCGTGGCGAGCTGGCCCTGGCACGCAGGCTGAGACCCCCACCCTCGTTTGACAGTGTGCATGCTCGCCTAGTGCCCGCGGTGCGAGATCCCCACATGCAGGCCTTCCTGCAGCAACTGCGGGTGGACTGGCCTGCTGCCTCGGAGAGCACCCCGACAGAAAGCCTGAGGAGCCGCGCCCTGGCGGAGCTCCCCTCTTCTCTGGACAGGACACTGCCCCCCGGCGTTCTGGGCAGGCTGTGCCTAAAGAAGCTTGTAGAAGAACGAGGCCGAGCAGCTGGCTATGACCCCAACCTGGACAGCTGTCTGGGTAGGGCCTGGAGCCCAGCAGGGCCAGAGAGGAGGGGCGCCTGTGCGCTCACCGCCAGCCTCAGCCCCTGGCTCTTCTTCCGGCAGTGACCGAGGATTTGCTGTCTGTGTTGGCAGAACTGCAGGAGGCAGTACAGCACTGGCCAGAGGACAGCTGCTCAGGCCTGGTAAGTGACTCCCAGCCCTGCGGCTTCCTGGCGAAGGAGATGGCCTGCCTGGCCACACGGGCTGTCCTCCTCCTGTAGACGACTGGAGCCGCAGATGCTGGCGCAGACAGCTGCACAGTGGTGCATGTGGTGAGCTGCGAGGAGGAGTTCCAGCAGCAAAAGCTGGACCTGCTTTGGTGGGCGTTGGATGACCGGGCTCCTCTCCATCAGGTAGGTCCATGATGATGAGCCCCCACCCCCACCCGGACAACCCACCAAGGGGCCTGTGAGGCCACAGTCCAGAAGTCAATGCCTGACTTCTGGGGAGATAGGGTGGACTTGCAGAGGGCATGCCAGCTGGTGCTGGGTAAGGTGGGGCTAGAGGCCCATGCCAGGGACGCGGAGGATAGATCGACGCTGGCATGGGCTTGAGAGGGAGGTGCTAAAAGTGGTGGGTACAGGTTGAGGAGTTGGGACACTGAGCTGAGTCCTCAAGGAACTTCCTGCCGGAGGGTGGCACTACCTCACCTAAGCCCCTGCCATCTTCCTCACAGAAGCACCTGGTCTGTGGCCCAGTGAAAGCAGCTGGCACAGCTAGCACCCTCACCGCCCCTGAGTACTACGCGTGAGTGAGGGGCAGCCTGTGCCAGGGGTGCGGGAGGAGTCTGCTGGGACCCCGCAGACCCACCCTCTCTTTTCCATGTGCAGATTCCGACATGCCCAGGTACGCAAGGCCTCAGCACTGAAGCACGGTGAGGAGCTGGCACAAGGTGAGCCTGGGAGACCCAGGCTGTGTTCTGGGGTAGGGCAGGCCATCTGCACCCTGCTTGCTGTCCCCTGCAGGGACTGACCGACTGACCTGTACTCCCTCAGACCCGGCCTGGATGGACATCTTTGGGGTTCTCTGTGCAGCCACCATCAAGTTTGAGATGCTCAGCACAGCCCCACAGAATCAGGTGAGCCTGGGCGCCTTGCAGGGCCAGGGCACGGTGGCTGTCCTCCCTCTGCAGCTGTGCCCCCGTTCCCCAGCTCCTCCTGGCTCTGGCTGATAGCAGCATCTCCACAAAAGGCACCAAGAGTGGCACCTTCGTCATGTATAACTGTGCCCGCCTTGCCACCCTCTTCGAGGGCTACATGCGGGGTGTGGAACAAGGTGTGTACCCCACCTTCCCACCCGTGAGCAGTCTGGACTTCTCGCTGCTCCATGATGAGGTGAGTATCCCTCCAGGTAGCGGGCACCCGTGGGAGGCACTGCCTCGCCATGCTAGCACCCTCCTCTCCCACAGGGTGAGTGGCTGCTGCTCTTCAACAGCGTCCTCCCCTTCCCAGACCTGCTGAGCCCCACGGCGGTCCTGGCAAGCTCCGCCCCGGGGCTCCATGTCACCGCACGCACAGAGACGGTGAGCACAGGCCAGGCAGAACTGCACACTCCACCTTTATTGGGGCTGGGCACAGCAGCAGGCAGGCCAGTGACTCTCCCTCCCTCTAGGTGTGCAAGTTCCTGGTACAGCTCAGCATGGACTTCAGCTCATACTATAACCGAGTGCACATCCTAGGGGTGAGTACACAGCATGGTGGGGGGCAGGGGCGCAGGATAAAGGCTACAAAAGCAGAGGGTGAGATGAGAGGCCCCTTCTCCTCAGGAGCCTCGGCCGCACCTCTTCGGTCAGATGTTCGCCCGCCTGCAGCTGCTCAGGGCCGTGCAGGAGGTGCTCCACGCCGGCCTGGCCCTGCTGGGCCTCCCACCACTAAGCCGCGTCTGAGGCCAGAGACCCAGTATCTGGGAACAGTCACAAAGTCCTCAGCTGAACACATGTTAAGAACCTGGAGCCAAAATAAATTGCTTCATTTACAAAGGTACGTCCGGTCTGGGGCGTGGGCTCAGCGTCAGTCTGCCGGGTGGCCCTCTGCTCTCTGCCAGCTCCTGTGGCCGCCACCTCCCTGCCACACTGGGCACAGGCAAAGCTGGTCCCTTGCCGCTGTCTTGAGCAGGCCTGTGCCCCGCACACCAGCCACCATGGGGTGCCTCAATCGTACCAGTTGTAAACCTCCAGGCCCTGGCCGCCCAGAGCACAGCGGTGGCCGAACTCGGGGCTCACAGGCCAGCAGTCCATGTCGGCCACATCTGCCACATGGTACACTGTGCTGTTCATGAAGGTGGGCTCGCCGTGCCCCAGGCGCCAGAAGGTCAGCCGCTGGTCGATGGAGGCTGAGACCATGAGGCTCGGGCTCAGGATCTTGAGGCCTGTCACATGGGCGGCATGTGCACAGGGCACGGAGAACTCCTCCAGCACACGCAGCTGGGGCAGTTCCACGTGCCCTGCCGCCTCATCCAGCTCGGGTGTCTCCACAGCAAGCACAAAGATGTGGAGGGAGCCGTCTTCACTGCCACTGGCTACAAGCTGGTGGCCCTCGCGTGTTGGAAAGGTATGCAGGCTGTTGACCCCACAGCTATGGGCCTGGAGAGTCAGACAGGGGGTGCCTAGCCCTGCAAGAAGAGGATGGGTTTCAGGGTCCTGCCTTACCCTGTGAAGGCAGAGTACAGGGCGAGGAGGGCTGGCCACGAGCTACTCACGGTAGGGAAGCCCAGGCTCCACTGGAGGCTCCAGGGCAGTGGAGCCTCGGTCCAGCACAGTGGTGAGGTCCCAGAAGGCCAGGGTGCCGTCTGTAGCTGCACTGCAGAGAAGCAGCCTCCTGGGGACCAGGGAAGGACAGTGAGGGCATGAGAGGGGCGAAGGGCCACAGGAACCCCTCCCTCCCGCCCATGTGTGGCTACCAG